TGAGTTATTTAAATTAGAAACAGCTTCGAAGTTATTTGATTCGTAATTATTCATTTGATTATTTTCTTTTATGTTTGTTTTCGATATAATTGCATTTAATTTATCAACTACTTGATTCATTAATGGACGATTATCTGGCTCATTATCCCAGCACCCTGAAATTAGATAAAAATTTAAAAATCATTATATATTATTATAAATCATTTTATAATCATATAATTTACCAGTGTAGATATTCACATAATCTTCAGGTGTGCCAGGAATGATCGTTTCTCTAAGTCCTCCTAAAATTTCGATAGCTAAACTTAGGTCGTATTCTTCATCCTTAATATAAAAAGGAGGTCGACCGCTCGATATCTCCCACATGAGAACGCCAACACTGTAAACGTCACTTTTTTCGTTTAGTTTGAATTGTGGTGATGTATTGTCATTTCTTCGTCTGCAAAAAATTTTTGGATCAACGTAAGGAATCACTCCAAAAGTTTTTGACTGATTAGTTGTTGCTTCTATCCTTTTCGATAATCCAAAGTCGGCTAGTTTAATAACACCTTGATGAATTAATACATTGCTGGAATGCTATTATAAACATATAAATAAATGTTAATTATATAAATAATAATATTTGAAAAAACATATATATATTATGATAAGATTACCAAATCACGATGTACAATTCCTTCGTTATGTAAACACAATACAGCACAAGACAACTGAAATGCCAAGTTATATTTATCTCCCCAAGCAAGCTTGTCAAAACTTTCCTTCAAATAGTTTTTAAGCGCACCGCCGTCAGCATATTCCATTACTAACCAATATTTTTTTAATTGATCATTTAAATCTAAATTTTTTTTTTAAAAAAAAAAAATATAAATAAATTAAAAATAATATGCAAAGATATATATATCCGCATTATTTAAAATTTTGTACCTTGGTTTGACGTAATTCCCAAAAAGCGGATGACATTGCTATGAAAATCAACTTCAAGTTGAAGTTCAAGCTAAATTATTAGAATATAAATATTGGCTTAATATATAAAAGATTTTATATTAAATAGACCGATATAATCTTTTATTTTGTAGTTACCTCATGAATAATTTTTTTAATGGTATTATTACTAAAATTATGAAATGATTTTAACGCAAAATGTTGATTTGAACTTTTCCAATTTGCACGATAGACTTTCCCAAAACCGCCTGTACCAATTTCTTGAAAATTGCTAAATTGTTTAAATTCATAATATTTGATACTTTTTCTTGAGATATATTCTTCAATAGACTCGTTTGAATTATTGGCAACTTGCATTTTGATTAATTGAAATTCGTATTTAGAATTTAGAAAATAAATTAAAATATTCTTGGAGAAAAGAAAAAAAAATGCACTTGGTAGATCGTTTTATCATACTGGCACTGCATTATAATAAATAAAATAAAATTTCTAAGCCACCTGGTCATTTGTATTCGAGATCGACAACTGCACGGACTTTTGTATGTCCGGTAAATTGAAGTTTGGCGCATTATATTTTGATCTGGAATATTATAAAAACGAATCGTAATGATGAGAAAGCATCCAAAGTTTCGCCTTGCTAAATTTTTTATACCTCATTCTTAATATAGAATTCTTTCTATAGGATCGAAATCACTTCATCACAGGGAAGTATTCTTGCGATGATAAGTAGTCTGTGAGATAGTGATGAACTGCTCGTTCGAAGCTGTGTCTGCTGGTCCAAAGGGTAGCTATTAGTTCGACGCTTATTTTCTTTACATTTGATTAGTAAAATTTTCTTGTTAGTTCTGTTGTTAATTTTGAATTTTTTTTTTTTAAGAATTGGGCACTGAAAAGGAAAAACCAAAGCGTTCTAGTGACGTGAATATTGAAAGTTTGCAAGTTAAGAAACTAGAGGTTGGAACCGGTTAATTAACCGGTTAAGACGTTTATCTTGTTAACCGGTTAAAGGTTTTTTTTAACCGGTTAAAATAACTAATGTTAACTCTGGCCGAAATTTAATTTTCGGGCAGAATTAAAATTTTTTGCAATTACAAAATTTGCCTAGTTTTGCCCAAATTTATAATGCCGGCCTGAGTTAAATTTAACCGGTTAATTAACCGGTTAAAGAAATCCTTAACCGGTTATTAACCGGTTAAGGATTTTTGGGTCGGTTCCAACCTCTATAAGAAACTAAAGCAGTTCGCAGGAAATCACGCAACTCAATTCATGAGTAAAAATATAGCTTTGCAAACAAAAAGGGTACAGATGTTGAGAGAAATGGTATATTGATAGTGATACATACATTTACATCGCGCAATGAATAAATAAAATCTATACAAATCAAAGTTTAATAATACATTTTAGCAATAATTATCCATTATAAAATCTTCATTTTTCAACAAATTTTTTGATCCAATCCGCAAACATCACTCCTGCATCAAATGTATCAAACATTGGAACCGGTTAATTTTTTAACCTGTTAAAGATTTTCAATCGGTTAAAATAGTTAATCTGAAATTTAATTTTCGGCCAGAATTAATATATTTGTGTTTCGCTAGCTCCGCCCAAATTTATAGTTCCGGCCTAAGTTATTTTTAACCGGTTAATTAAACGGTTAAGGATTTTTGAACCGGTTCCAACCTCTAAAACAAATAAATAAGAAACTCTTTATCAAATGCATTTTCACAAAATAGAAACCAATGCAATCGCAATTGATTGGACAGAATACGTTAAAATTAATTCACTTTCGTTTAAGTTTTCTCTTCAGATATCCCAATATCCACAATAAAACCAATGACAATAAAAAAGAATAACCGTACTAGCAGATAAATTAACGACAATGTTTATTTAATTGAAAGAAATCAAGAACACGAAGAAGCTAAACAGTTATTTAAGTGAAAAAGCTCGGCAAATTTTTAAAAAAATATATTTGTGTTGACTTTTTTTATAACTAGAATCGTTCTAAGATGATCCGTCTTTAGCCAAATCGTCGTAAACGTCTTGTAATTCTTTTGCATACTTTTTTTGGACCTTCTCCTAATACTACAGTAAATGACAATGTTGTTAGTAGATTTAAAACGTAATATTTCCTAAATCTTATATTACATACGTAATACAATATTTTCACTCATGATAACGTTAAAAAAGTTATCAAAATATCTAGACTTTATCAAGAAGTAATATCTACAAGAAAAGACGGCTTATTTATATAACAGTGATTTATTGATTTGTTACGCCATATCAGTTATCAGTTTACATAAATCTTTGTTTTACGTAATTTGCATTACTTCAATTAGGGTTATTATATAGATAGATATAATATTGACTGCTAGATATATATTATAAAAACCTATGTTCATACATAGGAAACCATACTATATGAGTTTTCTATATCAATCAAACTTACTTGAGTTAGGTCAGAATTAGATTAAATTACGTATTTTATTACCAACCCCATACTAACAGCGCTTTATTATATGTTTTAATATTTTTAAAATGAATGAAATATAAATTATATCAAGTTAATGAAATGAATCGTTAATGTATGCATAAACTTATTAAATGTTTTGATTAGAACAAATCAATTTTCAAAATTTGTAGAGATTTTTAGAATGTCGACCATTTTTCAGTTTGAGCACAGAAATAAACACATAATTTTACTTATCAACTTTAAAAATAATGAGTACTTTGAAACGGGTATAAATTTCAGTATGAAATATATTATTATCACACATACTAAGCTAAATTTTATCTTTCTACCACTGGTTTAAGTTGCTTAAATTGGAACTTTTCCAAGGCAGGTTGTTGACAAAAATTTGCTATTAATATTTTTTGTTTATACTGTCCAAAAAATATGATGTTTTAGGTTTATGTAAATTCTTGCAATGAATTTAATAAAAAATAGTCATTATATGGGAGGTTTGCTAAGAAAATGGGGTTCTGAGAGTTTTTTAATAAAATTTAATGTGAAAACATTACAATTTTGATGCAGACCCTCCTTGATGCGTTTTTACCAAGCTTGATGCAGATTCATCATGAAGATCAAATACCATTTTAGATATGCTCATTTTTTCGGGTCAAAATTTCGATATATTTAGACTTTTCGGATACACATTTTTTTTTGGATAATTTTCATACATCACATATATCACATCATGGTTTAAAAACTTTGTAGATAAATATAAATAAAGGTAGATAATGTTTTGTTTCGGTTTCTAAAATTTTTTTCTTTTTATTTTAAATTTTCGATACTGTTCGATTAAATAAATATAGGTTTTATTTTTATTTTTTTTTTGATTTTATTTCATTTTTTTTTTTTAAAAAAATTTTCTTTCTACGACGACCATCAATTAAATATGTAATGTCTATTTTTTAGACTTTTCACTCGTAATGGCTGTGATTAAACTTAAATAGGTAAGTTTCTTTATTGTTTTCAATTACAATATTTTTTATTGTAGCTAGGCATCATAACTGAATATCGGTGTGAAAGACTTATTAGATCTGACAGTTCGGTCATTTGGGTCTTCTCTTAAATCGAGTGTTAATTTGCCTACCAGCGATTCGATTAATTGATATTTTAAGGAAAGTCCGTAAAGAACCTTTGGAAAAAAAAGTTATTAAATAAAATTCATTTTTGCTTAAGATAGAATTAGAACTTTAATATTTTCGTTTGTTAAAAAATTTCCAAGTGATCGACATTCTCCCGATTTTTGCTTTACACTAACATAATATATTGTCTATTTATTTTTTAATTATTATATTTTAATAGATAATACTTATTATTTTATTTGATTTGATTTTTTTTGATTTTTTTTTGTTGTGATAAGTTCTAAAACTAAAATATAAATTTTTTATTTATGTTTATGAAATAGAAAATAATTTATTTCCTTTTGCTTTCACTTTTGTATTTTGATTTGAAAAAATCTTTTTTTCAGATTCAAATTTAAGCATGCTTTCTCTTTTTTATTTATTATTATTATTATTATTTTTATAAAGTAGATTCCTCAACTTTGATATTAAAACAAAACAAAATATTAATTATATTAAATAGGTTCCTTTTTTTTATATTTCAATTTCAAAAAAAAAGTTTTGCTTTTGGTATTTAATAAATATAAAAAAAAATTATAATCGTTTAATATTCACCTCTACTGAGTGATACTTCATAGATACAAAGTCTTTCTTAATATGTCGTGATATATATGATATACGACATCCAGACTAAGTCCTCCAAGCAAATTACTTATATAATACAATAAAAATTAATAAACATTATATTTATATTGATTATACAATTTATAGCTAATTTTATATTATTTTTATATTTATATTTATAAGGGAAAAAGAAAGGGATTGTGGTTTTCAAATTCTGATTTTGTATTCTTAAACTTTGTATTCTTCAATCTATTGGATTCATAATGTATTTTTTTAATTAATAAATTATTATTATTATTTAGAATAAAGAACACAGAAGGACTTCAGAAACATTATTAGAGTAGAGCAGGAATGCGAAGGAGAGAGAGGGGCAAGAAAAGAATTAATATAACAGAATCAAAGTAGTAGAAAAGGTGAATATTTTAATTTAGAACATTTACAAAAACTTAATCATTAAAATAAATCTTTCATGCATACTTTGAATATAAAGAGTGAGAAGTTTAAGGAATCATACCAGAACTAGTTAGTAATTTAATTGATGTTCTACTTGATTAATAAAGCTGTACTCACAAAAATACTACTAATGTTTTTGTTTTCCAAAACATACATATTATCAATCAAAATATAACATATGAGAAAAGAAATTGGATTGTTAAGTAAATGAATATAATAAAATGAGTAGAAGAATTAAAGAATGAAATTCACGTAATATGCCTAAAGATAATCAGTCGGTCTTTTGATCCTGAATGGTCCTGCCCGATCTTTAAATGTTATAAGAAATGCACCCTTGAAATTTTGAGATGTAACAATTAAGGCTAAAGACTAATAATGTCAAAATTTGGCCTATATACTTCTTTTTTAAGACCAGCAGAAGCGAAATTGGTAAAAGACCAAAAAAATCAATAATACTGGTTTGGTAAAATAAAAACCTATCTAGCTCTAAATTAGTAATAAGATTGAGATCAAACTTTACTACTTTTCAGTCTTTAATTAGTTCTGATATATCACAAAAAATTGGGAACACAGTATTATTATTTTCTGAAAATTTCCTAAAGACTGATCAAGACCGATCAAAAGATCGCTGGATTTCTAAATATGCTTCTATGAAAAAAATTATCTAAAATCATGTGATTTTGATAAATATATAAAAAGAAAAATAAAGAAGAATGAATTTAAAGGCAAATTAAAAAATAAAAACAAATTATAAAAGATGAATTAAAAATGATGAAAGATATATTATAAAAAGTCAAAGAATGAATTGAATGAATTATAAAAGATAAATTAAAAAAAGTGAAAAACAAAGTTGAAAAAGGTGAATGAAGAATTAAAAAAAATAAAAGAATGCTTAAAAAAAATAAAATTATAAATTGGAAAGATTTGTATTTATAAATTTATTATTCTTTATTTATATTGTAAAAATGAAAGATTCATAAGCGTAAATTTCATATATTTATATTTTTTTATTTTTATTAGAGAAGTTTTAATAATTCAATAAAATTATTATAAAAAACTTATCAATATCTCATACAAAGCCATCCTTCATTCTTTTGCTTCTTTTGCATTATTATTTCTATTAAAAAATCTATTTATTATCATGTAATTGCATTCTTTTGTTATTTGTTTGATATTATAAAACTAAAAATCATCTGTATTTTATAATTCATAAAATTTCATGTCATCCTTTAATTTTTTTGTATTATTGTATCCTAACTTAAAAATTTTCATTTTTTGTTTTTATTAATTATTAAAAAAATAATACATTACGAGTGGAGAGTAAAAAAAATTTACCACGTGAAATGTATTATATTATCATGATTTATTAATTTGTTTAATGATTGATGTATTAGAATACATTTGAAAATTTAATTAATTTTTATAGTAATAGATTCCTCTGACATTACTCAAACATTCCTTAGACATTACTCTGACATTCCTTAAAAATTCATCTGATATTAATTTATAATTAAAACCAATTTTCTTTAATCAAAAGAAAAATTAATATGAAATATAATTGATAATCATAATCTTAACATTTTAAATTTTTTAGATACAAGTGTATATATATAACATATAGCCTCAGTGCTTAGCGATTACATTCTTAAAGCTTAGTATGCGGTTATAATCCCTTTAGTTCTTTATCACAAAGTCAAATTATGATATATCAATATTAATTAAAAGTTAAACCAATATTATTGGATTATTTTTTTTAGAGTTTTTGTATCCAAATTTTTAGTTTAAATTAAAATGATCAAATTAAAACAAAATAGTGTTAAGATCATCATCGATTAGATTGATTAAACTTGTCAAAAGCACAAATTTTAAAAATGATTGTAATGTAATAAATTAATTATACATTTATTATTGATAAAGCTTATTAAAGCATGCAATTTAAAAAATGATGTAATGTAAAAATGGAAAAGAAAATTCGTAAAACAAACCATTCAGTTAAATATTATTGGATTAAAAATAGTTAATTATAATTATAGAATTTGTAAATTTTTTAAGATCTGAATTATCTTCTCATATTTTAATAATTACTAAATATTATAAGCTGATAAGTAAAAATAAGTAACATGAGTAAGAAACAAATAAAACAAATGATAGGTATTTATTAAGTAAAAAAAAAAGATGATAGAAAGTTATACAAAAAAAAAAAATTAAAGAGAAATACTTTTTTTATTTTTTTTGATTGTTTTTATATTTTTGTTGTTTGAAATTTATGATAAGGACTTCAATTTAGTAGTCTTATACTTCATCTCTTCTCTTCTTCTCTATCTTCTTCTTCTTCTTTTTCTTTCTTCTCTTTTTTCTTTCCTTTTTCACAATAGTTTTGCTTAAAGATAAATTTAATGAAGTAATTGTAATTATACATGAAGTTAAAATAAAACCCAAAAATCAAAACGAAAAGTCAAAATGGTCAAAATGATATCATATCACATGATTTTTTATATATAAAAAAACAAAGGATGTATGATCTTAGTCAATATCGCTCTAATTTATATGATACAACTACCATTCGATTTCTCATGATTAGACAAATCCAATAAGCTAACATTCATTGATTTTGAATTGACCTAGCTCAAGATATTTGTGACCAAATTTTGAAATTTGGACTTCTTTATTTAAAGTAGAATTTATTGATTTATAATTTTAACTGATAACACAATTGTGATTATTTTAAGATTGAATAATCTGAAATCAATGCATATTAGCTCATTGGATTCATTTAATCATGAAAAATCAAATGGTAGTTATTTCATATGAATCAGAATAATATTGACTGAGATCATACATCTTTTTTTTAATTATAAATCATTGTTTTTTAACAAAAAATGTAGATTTTCTTACATAAAATCAACTAAATATTCCATCTATACCTCTGTGATAGTATTCTTTTATCTATGAAGATTCATCTATTAATTTTGTAAATATTGAAATATACATAAAATAAAATTTATTATACTTATTATTATTTTTTTCTTATGTAAGTTTTGATAATTACATAAGTAATAATAATTTTTCAGCCATAATAAATTGCAAATATAAACTTATTTATTTATTATATACTTATCTAAATATGATTGAGTGCGACTTAATGTGACTGAAAAATTATGAAATCAATTACATAAAATCTGCATTATTAACTGGTTATTAAATTTATACATGTTATTCTTAAGAATTAGCTTTAAAATAAATATAAAATCAAGATTTTGATATTAATAGTTAACCTATTCTAAACCTTTAAAGGCAACAAATTAGTAGTTACATTTCTTTTGTTCATTACTTATATGATTTACTATAATAAATATTTATTTACTTTATATTAAAAAAAAAGAAAAAACAAATTTATGGAAAAAAAAAATTTAATAAAAAAGAAAAAAAAAAGCAAAAAACAAAAAAAGAAAAAGAAAAAACA